GCAAGGGTGAAGCATCGTCTCAAATACACATCCATTCATCCACAAAGTTTCGTGCGATCGCATATAAACGTACTTCTGGTGATGAAGAAGCCACCTCATGGCGGTACATTATGTGCGTCATGAGATTGACCTGGTTCTGGGAACCAAATACTGCGTAACACGCCAATGGCCACTGCCCAAGTGACAGTACGACGTCATTGACGCAATTTTCCGTGCGAAGCACGACGCAGGAATGATGCGTGAGAGCAAGTCTCTTCATTCGACACCCACGTTTTGTGTTCGGAAGCCGAATGGCGAGTGGCGCATCGTTCATGCTTACAATATGCTCAACGCTGCCACCATTCCGGCTCAAACGCCAATTCCTAGAAAGAATGCTCTTCAGAACAATATTGTAGGATGTACAAAGCAGTGCACTGGATTTGTTGAAATGATACTGCCAATTGCTCATAAGAGCGGGTGACATTTCGCTGACAGCGGTAAGCACTCCGAGCGGCATGCTCTGGGGGTGGATGGTGATGCTTCAAGGGCTATTAAATGCACCAACAACATTTAATCGTTTTATGACGCAGTTGTACAAGCCCCACAAGGCGTTTGCACAGACATACTTTGTCGACATTCTCGTTCACAGTCGTGCGGAGCACGCGAAGACGGATAAGCAGAATCGCATCGTCCAACTAAGAGCGGTGCTCGAGTGCATGCGCAGAGACTGTACGCCGATGCAGACAAGTGCATCTTCGGCGCAAAAGCGATTTCCTTTTTTAAGAGTGCTTCATTGGTAAGCGTGGCCTTCGAGCGGATCCCGCTACGGTCAAAGCTATTGTAGATTGACCAGTTCCGAACAACCAAATGAACTTGCGTAAGTGGCTTGGTCTTGCCAATTACTTACATAAGTACAGCGTAAATTACGCAGAAATGGCCCGGCCATTATCCAATCTCCTTAAAAAAGGTGCGGAATGGTGTTGGAACACCAAACATCGGGAGGCTTTCGACGGGGTCAAAGACAGCCTCCTGCATGCACCAATACTGGCGTTGAAAGATCCCGATCGTCCTTTCAGCGTCGCCACAATTGGTGGTCCAAGTTGTACAAATGGACGAGCACCTCTGTGCGCACGTGTGAGACGTGTCGACGGGTGAAACCCTCCCCAAATGCGGCTGCGCCGCTGGCTAGCTTACCGGGACCCACTAGGTGCTGGGAGTCCATGCGTTTGGACTTTGTGTTTGGA